AAAAAGACCTACGAAACTGCCACACACTGAAATTCACCACACGGTTGATACGATACGAACTGAGCAGCAGAGAATCCGTGGACCAGTTTCAGACGCAACCCAAACCTACATCATTTTTTTCAACCCACATTTCAAATTCCTTCGGTTTAGTTGATCAGTTATCGAATTAATGCAGATTCGCCGCGGTTTCCGCAATCAGACTATTGGCGATTTCAAAAATCGAAACGGTTCCGGGCGGTTATTTTATAAACTACACTAGGGATGAGACATCGATGGTAGCCATCGATGTTCATGACGAAAGGTAATATCGATGTTAGGGAAACATCGAAGGCAGAACATCGATGTTCTGATAGTTTGCAGTTGCATACAAATTTCAAATTTATTAACTTAACTTTAATAATTTTATTTTACTACTACTATGACATTAAATAATCGAGTCAATTTATTCAACTTATAGTTGGCACATTTCTCGGTCAACTGACTGCAAAAAGAGGCTTTTTTCGGGTGCGGATGGAATTGGATCGCGATGCCGCGGTATCATTTGTATCGGCACTATCAAAGAGTTCGCAGAAAATGTTTCTATCTAGTATCAACATCAACTATACGATATTTTCATTTCAGGGGCTATCATCGATACTTTATCGATGTCCCAAATTTCCAACATCGATGGTAAAAATATCGAACATCGAACGAATTACATCGATGTTTGCCACATTTTTCGCTGAACTGACTGCAAAAAGAGGCTTTTTTCGGATGCAGCTGAAAATGGGCCGCTATGCCGCGGTATCGTCTGTATCGGAACTATCAAAGAGTTTGCAGAAAATGTTTCTATCTAGTATCAACATCAAATGTCCGATGTTTTCATTTCAGGTTCTAACATCGATGCTTTATCGATGTCCCAAATTTTCAACATCGATGGTAAAAATATAGAACATCCAACGAATTACATCGATGTTTGCGAAACATCGATGTTTTTCTCCCATACCTACCAATTATTAACCAAACGGTACTCGATCAGTCTAGTTTAGGGATGGGAGAAAATAATTCATTCGATGTTCGATATTTTTACCATCGACGTTGAAAATTTAGGACGAACTAATTACATCGATGTTGCCACATTTTTCGCTCAACTGACTGCAAAAAGAGGCTTTTTTCGGGTGCAGCTGAAAATGGGCCGCTATGCCGCGGTATCGTCTGTATCGGAACTATCAAAGAGTTCGCAGAAAATGTTTCTATCTAGTATCAACATGAAATGTCCAATGTTTTCATTTCAGGGTCCAACATCGATGTTTCATCGATGTCCCAAATTTCCAAGATCGATTGTAAAAATATCGAACATCGAACTAATTACATCGATGTTGCCACATTTCTCGCTCAACTGACTACAAAAAGGGGCTTTTTTCGGGTGCAGCTGAAAATTGGCCGCTATGCCGCGGTATCGTCTGTATCGGAACTATCAAAGAGTTCGCAGAAAATGTTTATATCTAGTATCAACATCAATTGTCCGATGTTTTCATTTCAGGTTCTACCATCGATGCTTTATCGATGTCCCAAATTTCCAACATCGATGGTAAAAATATCGAACATCAAACGAATTACATCGATGTTTGCCACATTTTTCGTTCCACTGACTGCAAAAAGAGGCTTTTTTCGGGTGCAGCTCAAAATGGGCCGATATGCCGCGGTATCGTTTGTATCGACACTATTAAAGAGTTCGCAGAAAATGTTTCTATCTAGTGTCCACATCAAATGTCCGATGTTTTCATTTCAGGGTCTAACATCGATGTTTTATCGATGTCCTAAATTTTCAACGGCGATGGTAAAAATATCGAACATCGAATGAATTATTTTCTCCCATCCCTAAACTAGACTGATCGAGTACCGTTTGGTTAATAATTGGTAGGTATGGGAGAAAAACATCGATGTTTCGCAAACATCGATTTAATTCGTTCGATGTTCGCTATTTTTACCATCGATGTTGGAAATTTGGGACATCGATAAAACATCGATGTTAGATCCTGGAATAAAAACATCGGATATTTGATGTTGATACTAGATAGAAACATTTTCTGCGAACTCTTTGATAGTGCCGATACAAACGATACCCCGGCATAGAGGCCCATTTCCAGCTGCACCGAAAAAGACTCTTTTGCAGTCAATTGGCCGAAAAATGCGGCAACTATAAGTTGTATAAATTTAGTCGAATATTTAATGGCATAGCAGTAGTAAAATAAAATTATTTAAGTTTATGTTAATCAATTTGAAATTTGGCAAACTGTCAGAACAGAACATCGATTTTGTGAAACATCGATATTCTGTTTTCGATGTTTCCCTAACATATATTTGGAGTATATGTAATACTCCAAATACATGCCAAGGCTTAAAGTAGCAACAACGCTACACATAAAAACTGATTATGATGGAAAACACCGAAACGCATTTTAATTTATAATTAGAGACAATAAATGACTGAAGCCCAGGAATGAATTTTGATTTAAATTATTAAAGTTAAGTTAATCCATTTTAAATTTGTATGCAACTGCAAACTCGATCAGAACATCGACGTTGTCAAACTGCCTTCGATGTTTCCCTAACATCGATATTACCTTTCGATGTCAACATCGATGGCTACCATCGATATTACCTTTCGATGTCTACCATCGATGTTATAGGGTCGATGTCTCATCCCTATGCCTAGAGATGGGAGAAAAACATCGATGTTTCGCAAACATCAATGTAATTCGTTCGATGTTCGATATTTTTATCATCGATATTGGAAATTTGGAACATCGATCAAACATCGATGTTAGATCTTGAAATAAAAACATCGGACATTTGATGTTCATACTAGATAGAAATATTTTCTGCGAACTCTTTGATAGTGCCGATACAAACGATACCGCGGCTTGGCGGCCCATTTTCAGCTACACCCGAAAAAAGCCTCTTTTTGCAGTCAGTTGGCCGAAAAACGTGGCAACTATAAGTTCAATAAATTTATTCGATTATTTACCAAAGCATCGTTTTAAACTGTCATGGTAGTAGTAAAATAAAAATATATATTTCAGTTTAAGGTAATCAATTTGAAATTTGTATGCAACGGCAAACTATCAGAACATCGATGTTTCCTTAACATCGATATTACCTTTCGATGTTATAGAATCTATGTCCCGTCCCTATGCCTAATAAGTCCCTAACTGCTCGGAAAAGTCCAGAAGCATCCACCAAATTGTCCAAAACCTTTCGGTAAGATGGCCGGACTTTGATGTTACTTCTCCCATTAATGGGTGGAGGAAGAAGGCAACGCCCAAGGATCAACAACTTTTAAATTTTACCGTCTAAATCCTGCTTCCAAACGCCCGCAATTAAATCGGTAGTTTAAACCCGCTAAGCGGGGGCTTAAACCGGGCTCACCTGTTACTAAGCTGGTAGTAGAGCGGGAATGTGGAACCATCGTGTTCAAGTTGGAGGAACCCTGAGCAGTCACCAAATCGCCCACAAAGGCGGACTTGGGGCGCATTCTGGGCAGGGAGGCGTTGGCGCAATGGTCGCTCAAAATAGACGCCTCGTGGTAACCGGAACTATCGCTGCTATTCCGGGAATGGCAGATAGTCAGTCCGTTGTCGATTGTTTTCTTGGTGGAAGAGGCCTCGGGCGCCTGGGGCGGCTTGGGCGCGGGCCGCCTTTTCCTTTGGGGCGGCTTCGGCCGCTCGGGGGGCGGCTGAACCACCGGTGGAGTCACCGATCGGGAGTCGTCGCTTTGAGTGGGCGAAATCGATCGATTGTCGCTGGATACCGAGCCGGAACCCATGCTCTAAGCAAACCAACACGCTTGAAAAAACATTCTCTTTGTGCACGTGGACACCTACCGATTTTCCCCGCTTGAAGATGAGATTGAAGACGCCGCCTCCGGCCTTGTTGTGCATCTGCTTGCGCTCTTCTTCTTTCCGCAGCACCATGATGTCGGCAGCGGAAAAGGCCTGGTTCAAGTTCGTGGTGCCTTTGGCCACCACGTAGATTTCGGTGATTTGGTAGTCGCTAAGTGTGAATTTCGGATCCAAAATCTGGTCCAGATTACCTGCAAAGTTGCGTAACTAATCACAAGGTTCACCTGACGCAAAGAGCACCTTAACAGGCAATCGCCTTTATCGCGATTCGCTACTACTACGCGGTAACTTGCCGAGAAGAACGAATAAAGTTGCCGAAAATGGGACTCGGCCTAGTCCACATAAGCCCGATGTGCGGCATTGTTGTTTGCCTGCCGAGATAAGCGGCACTGGATGCTTACAAATGATAATGATCGCAATTGTTGTCAATCAACCTGTTTACTTATTTAAGCAATTGCTCTTAATCAGGTGTGGAAACAAGTCGATGTCCCTGCAAAATGCCCCGGAACCATAAAACGTCTCAAGAACCATGAACAGAGCAAATAGCGCCATACACACCACGGGCAGATTATCCGTACAGTTCAGATACGTAGAGATTTGATTCGACAGATCCAGATCGGACGAATTAAATCTTTTCCTGTCCACTAATTAACATACGTATCAGAGTGAAATCTTACGTTTCAGACAGACTTGGTCTGGCGCGTGGTATTTCAAGTGAAGAGGCAGATTAGTTAAACTAAGTGTTTAAAATGCGAAGCAATAAACGGATAGCTATTGCTTGTGCTGGCATCATAGTGGTTTCAGAAAATCTACGCAAAAAAAGTGAGAAGAAAGTGGGTAGACTAGAGACTATAGACTGGAAGGGCGTCGGCAGCCATAGGAAAAAATGCGGCAAAAAAAATATAAATCGAATGCACGCTGGGATTTTTTTATAAACACGTTGTTATTAAAACAATAAAATACATAATTATAGAAAAACAAACAAACGATAGAAACCGAACGAATTAAAACCAACGTTAGAAAGGCAAATTGATCTACCACTTCCTTAGTGAAATACTGCAAAGTCTGAGAAACATACATATGTGTTCTGTGCACACTAATCATTAGGTACCTTTTAGTTAAACCCCGGCTGTTCTGGGCAACCTATTTTGTTCGCTCATACAGTAAAACCTATATTTTTAAATTTGAGCTTATATTATTAATGACTACATCTGATTTACTTTTGTAACTTCATATCTGAAATATATCATATTTAGCGTCGCCTCTAACAAGGAACAAACTATTTTTACCACAATTTTTGCAGTTAACAATTGAAAATGTAAACATCACATATGGCCTAGTCTGTACATATACGGTCTGATTCTACATACCGTCTGTAACATATCTATAATTCAAGTACGAAGAATCACTTCATACAGTGGCAATTCATTTTCTTCGGCCCAACGTAGGCACAAATTAAATTAATCGATCGCCTATTTTCTGGGTATTTTCTGAAAAGCTTCGTCTTCGTAATCGAAGTAGTGATTTTCTCCTGTGACATTAGCTACTATCTCATCATCTTCCAAGATTTCTATATCCAAATTTTCAATCATCACCTCTTGCCCATTGCTTGAATTATAACATTATACACTATATCTCAAATCTGTACCAATTTCTACCGTTAAATTTTATCTGAATATGTATTTTGTTTGAGAGCTGCAGATTTATTTTGTACGAAATTCGCATCGAGTTGTATCTGGCTCGTGATTAACAACCACTAACGCACCGATAATTATTCGAACTTGGCTCGCCACGTATCAGATATGACAGATATTTCGCTCGTGTATGGGGCGCTGATGCCTTCTTCCGACGCACCTTCTTCGAAATGTTGCCAAAATAGCCATGAAATGCTCCCACGAGGATAAACTGTGCCAACTTTCTTGGTGGTTCTTGCCAGCTATGGATGGGTTCTTCGACGATGAGAGAAGCATTTTTCAAATGACAAAAATGCTCTCGATCAGTGTTTTAGTTTTCTCCTTTTTGAAAGCGATTTGATGAACTGTTATGCGCAATCAGTTCTCTTTGCTTCAAGAAGAAACACTGCGAAGATTCTCCCATTTTACTTTGGGGGAGGAAGCAAAGTTATCTTGTTGGGGCATCMGCCAATGTCTCCAAACACACTTTCAAAAGTTGTGTTCTTTTCTTCTCCCTCCTAAGATTAATTTTTCCAATTACCAATGTCCTAAGGTGTCTTAACCATGTTGGAATTATTCACTGAACATCTGAGGAATTCAAWKMAGTCTTCAAARAAGGTCCACAAAGGWCATTCTATTTTTRCAGCAAATTTTCTTTGGAGGTTGAGCGAAARAGTCTAAMATTTACCCCAAAAAAACCCCAATCTGACTTGAAAATATCCATTTTGAAGATCAAAACTTATGAACTSACYCTTAACTCTATTTYAATGGRYAGCKGAACAYCTGAAGAATTCTTCAATATGTGCAAAAAAACGGTCACAAAACTTATTCAATTTTACAGCAAATTTGCTTCGAAGATTGAAAAAATAAACAATTGGTGGGCGTTCAGGGTGCAAAATTATATTGCTTAATATCTTCAAGAAGGAACACTCCGACAAAGGCCCCATTCTTGTCAAAAAATATACGTTCTATTTGGTATCACATCTACCTTGAAGAATGAGAAGAGAGTCTTCAGGTTCAGGTCAAAAGGGTCATGAAATTCTTGCTCAAAAATATATATTTGACGCTTAAAATTTAAAAATCTTATCTACCTCTGAACTCAGATCTGAAGATTTCTTCAATCTTTTGAAAAAGACCCCCAAAACTAATTCTATTTCGCAGCAAATTTTCTTTGGAAGCTGAACGAAAGAGGCTAACATTTAGTGGGGATACACATTGCAAAACTATGTTGTGGAAGCATCCTTCATTGGCTTAAAGAATACTTTGAAAAGTTCTGTTTCTTCTTTTCTTGGTTCTTCTTTAGAGACTGCCTACTTCTCACCGAAGTATATGCATTTTGAAGCATTCGATGTATACAACCACGCCCCAGGATTTTCTCAAAATTAAATTGCTACTTGTGCAACAAATGAAGCAATTATTCAATCTCTTCAAAAAGAAACACTCGAAAAAAGCCATCTTCTGATCGGAAGATTAAAACATATGAAGCAATGTCCGAAGGTGCCTTAACGACATTTAAATAATTTACTGAACATCTGAGGAATTCTTCAAAGTATTCAACAAAAAGTCCACAAAGTTCATTCTATTTCAAAGCAAATTTTCTTTAAAGATTAAGATGAAGATTTCAGGAGTTCAGGTTGCTTTGATTTATTGAACCATACCGAATTCAAGAAGAAATTCTACAAATAGAGCCTGTTTTAGCATAAAAATACAAATTTTGAAGATCAAAACATATGAAGCGATGTTATATGGTCTCTTGACTCATTTCAATAGATACCAACATCCAAAGAATTCCTCAATGCCAGCGAAAAAACGTCTTGATGCAGAAGAACTATTCAGTCTTCAAGAAGGCTTTGGAAAGTTCTATTTCTGCTATGCTTAGCTCTTGTTGAAAAGAACCAACTTCTCACCCAAATATTGATGCATTTTGAAGCTTAAGATGTAC